ATATATAATTGTAGTTACATCAATGAAGAGTATTTTTAAATAAAAAAAAAAAATAGGATAAATTACAAATACACTCCTTGAGATTTGCTTAAAATACGAATTGCCTCCGGTGGTTTGGAAAATTATAAATACCTCTTTGCCAAAATTTTTTATTTAACAGAGTTAATTGAAAAAGTAAAATTTCTAACTTATAATTGAAATAAATTTTAATATTTATTAAAAAACTATTAATTAACTTAGTGATTTATTAATAAAAAGACTTATTAATAATAAATTAGAAACTTTAAGGAGTATAATATATTTTAGAATCACAAAGAGTAATTTATAATTTAAATAAATCTTAGGAGATGTATCTGCTCGGTCACTCTACTAACCCCATGTCAGGTGAAGTCCCATCTCACGGCTTGACCAGCAAATTTTAAAAGGCAAAAATATCGTTTTACTCATTTTAATTTTATTTATTATTATTTTTTATAAAAAGTCAAAAAATTCTTCTTTACATCATATTTTAATAAAAAAAGTTTTAAAAAAATACTAAAAAATTTATTTCCAAAGGAGGCGGAGCTCTCTTTTGTGGAGAAGCTAATTTTCCGTTAACTTGAGTGTTTGTTTAAGCTGTCTAGAAAGTTAATTTTTTGTCAACTTTTGCAAAAATAAAAGCTGGAAAAAAGGAAAATATATATATATATATTATCAACATCTCCAAAATCAAATTTTATACCCAAAAAGTTTTTTTCTCTTAATGTTTTTTTGGGACTCCCCCTAAAATCCGAAGTGGAAGCTATAAGCAACTTAAAAAATCTGCAACCAAAGTGGCTATAGGCACCTGACTCTCTTTTCTCCTGTTTATGTTATTTTGATTTGAAGTGAATGTATTATCGCCTGAAGACTATTTGTATCATGTAATGCAAGTGTGGGGATTTATTTTCAGTTTTACTTTAAAGAACCATGGTTATCGTATTATCATTTGGGTATAAAAATTAGGGCGTTACAAAAATACACTAAGAATTTTTTGTGTGTTACATTGACTAGAATGATACATTTAGACAAAAAATAAAGAGTTTTTGTGTGTTACATTGATTGGAGTGTTACGTTTGAAAAAAATACACTAAAGAGTCTTTTTTTTTTTTTTTCTTCTATAAAAATATTTTTTAAAAAATATTTAAAATTTAGAAAAAAAAAAAAAAGACTCTTCATTGATGTCACTACAGTTATATTTTTTTTGCTTTTTTCGTAAAAAATATTTTTTTAAAAAAGTACTCTTCATTGATGTAAGGGTGAAACACCAATAAATATCAAACTATGATCTTGTGAACGATTTAGTCCTCCCATTTTTCTTATAAACCCAAAAGTCTTATTAAAGTGAAAATTAAATAAAAATGTAGTCACTTACATGTTTGGGTTTAATTTTTTAGGGATAAAAGTTATAGCGATCCCGGGTTTACCCTTGTTGTACAGTGACCCGGACATGTGTCCGTGGATGTTGGTAGTTGATTATTATCTTGTTTACATCCCTTTTTGCTTCGTAATTGAGTTATAGGATGTGTTGGGCAGGTTTGTTACAGGTTGGTTGAGTTTAGAAACCAAAACTAGTTGCCCAGATTTTGGCCTGTCCGCTCGAGCGGGGGTTTTGGCGCTCGAGCGTAGATTACACCCATCCAGTATTTTCCTGTGCAGCGTTGTACGCTCGAGCGTGGGATTGGCCGCTCGAGCGGGGTTGTGTGGGTTCCACTCGAGCGGGGAGTTGGAAGCTCGAGCGGAGGCCTGGTTTTGTATAAGTGCTGGAAGAGTGCATCCGGCGCTCAAGCGGAAGTTTGGCCGCTCGAGCGGGAGTCTGTGAGTGACGCTCGAGCGGGATGTTTTACGCTCGAGCGGGGCGACTGGGTTTAAGTCCCGAATTGTGACTTTTCAAATCACTTTTTCACTTTCTCTTCTCTCTCTTACTTTTCCAAAATCACCATTGTTGAGCCTCTCACTCTAGACTCTACCTTCTCTCTAGGTTTTGATCTAGTAGGAGTGATTTGCTCACCTTTGGCCTTTACAAAAAAGTTGTTGATCGTCGAGGGCTTCTTTTTAATCTGAAAATTTCGAGATTTGGAGCACGTTGGGTTTTGCCTTCTTCTCCTTTGGAGCTCCGAATTTGAGGTAGTGATATCCTACTCCTCTCTATGGATTTTGTCTTTAAATTTTGGTATTTTGAGATGTTGGGGTTGGTTTGGTAACTTTGTGAAAGTATGGGGCTTTTGTGTAATTTTACAAAAGTTGGGGTTTTATTCGTAATAAACCTAGATGCATGTTTGGCATAGAGGAATGGTATAAATGTTGAATCATTGATGAAACGGGACCTTAAGGGTTGAAATGTTAATTATGGTAAATAACCTAATTACATTGTTTGATTAATAGGGTTAATTAATCGTGAGAAAGAAGTTATGAAATGGAAATGTTGAGATTGGAAATGTATGGGGTTAAAGGGTGTAGTCGAATTATTCATCACTCACCGAATTGAAATGTTGATAATTATCCATTTGTGCATTTATTTCCTGCTTAGAAATAATTGCTTTGGGCTATCGGTGGAGGATAGTCGAGATTGTTGTAGACAATGCATGAGGATTAGGTAAACGGAAACTAATAAATGGAATGTGTCATGGAACCTGACGGTTGATAGAATACATTAACTACATGTATTGAGTGATTGTATATAGAACCAATGTGTTTATATACGTTATGTGTAGAGGAGGAGATAGGGGATGTACTCCGCGGTTTAGGGGAAGATAGGGGATGTACCTCTAAACCGGATAGTATTCAACTTTCTTTGCTTGGCTGACTATATCATAAATGTTCATATTGTCACTTCTTTCAGCTCTCAACTAGGTGGATGAAAAATGTTTATCTTTAGCAAAGTTATTTTTTCGTTAAAATTTACAGAGATATGGAAGCCTTTTCTTATAATAATGTTTTATTTTCTATTATTTTCTTACTTGGTTTCCTGAGGTTTAACAGGTCATAGGGAATTACTAGTTTCAATTCGTTTCAACGAACCTGGATGGCAATGGTCAGGATGCTTTTTACCAGATCATCTGGGTGATACTCAAGTGAAAATGCAGAATCATGTTTGTGGTGCAATTAGTATGATTTATCAGTGTTGGCCAGACATATTTTTGCTAATCTTTTAGTCATTGTTCATGGTTGGTTTAGTGTATTTCTACTGGGCTGTGGCTCACCCTATATGGGAATATCATTTTCAGGTACAGGTAGCATGCCACCTCCAAGGACATAGCTTGGGAGGCTAGAGGCGGAAATATTTTTGTTGTTTTACTTTTTGATGTATTACATGTAAATTCAAGCCAAGGGCTTAACGTGTATGAGTTAGTACTCTTTGGTTGTAACCAAGTGTTAACTTGGAAAGCTGTAAGCCCATAGGGCATTTGCTTTTGTTGTTAACATGTAATACTTTTGTAATGAAACTCTGATAAATAAAAGAATGTGGTTATTTCATATGTCAATGGATGTCTTATTTGATGGGTTTAATGTTGTTATTTTGAGGGCGTTACAAAAGTGATTTTCTCAAAATATAAAATTACACATTTGGGCTATTTACACTATAGAAGTTTTGGATTTTTCCTCGTTCTAGAACAAATCACACATTACGAACAAAAACCTAAACTCTAATGTAACACTCTAATAACATAACATTTCAATGTAGCACACTAAAAAATTCATTGATGTACTTTTCCCAAACGTAACACTCCAATGTAACACAAAAACACTAAAAAAACTCCTTAGTGTATTTTTTTTAAATGCAACACTCACAGTTTGAAATTATATATTTACTCAAAACTTACTAAGGAATATTTATACTCCTTTTGGAATGGTTTGAAGAATCTCACATTTTTTTTTAGTGTTACATTGGTGTGTTACGTTTAGAAAAAATACACTAAAAAGTTTTTTTTTGTGTGTGTGTGTGTGTGTGTTTTACATTAAAGTGTTACACTAAAGAATTATTTTAGAGTGTTATATTAAAGTGTTACGTTTGGAAAAAGTACACTAATGAGTTTTTTTGTGTATTACATTAGAATGTTACATTAAGAAATTTTCGTGTGTTGCATTAGAATGTTACATTAAGGAATTTTTTTAAAGTATTATATTAGAGTGTTACATTTGAAAAAAGTATATTGAGAAGTTTTTTTGTATGTTACATTAGAGTGTTACACTAAGAAGTTTTTGTGTGTGTTACATTAGAGTGTTACATTAACGAGTTTTTTTTTTTTATATATGTTATATTAGAGTGTTACGTATGGAAAAAATACACTAATGAGTTTTTTTGGAATGTTATATTGAAATGTTACGTTTGAAAAAAAGTATAGTAAGGAGTTTTT